GGTATCAGGGCATAGTCCACCACGCGGCCCCACTGCGGATTGGCGGACTTCACATATCTTCGAAATAAAAAATATATTTTTGTTATTATTTCGAAAATATGCAGGTTTCCTCACGATGTTTTCCTTCACCGCGGAGCACGTGATAAGTCAGCACTTAAAGTTAAAAACTTCATTGGTGCCGGCCCCGGGGATCGAACTCAGGTTGCTCGAGGATATTGAATTAAAGGCGAGCGCCCGGACACTGAGCTATTACGGCTCTCTGTTGTTATAGTTTTGTATAGATTGTTATAGTTATAGTGGCAACAGAAATACATAATCTGTGAAAATTTCAGCTCTAAGTATCAGGACAGACAGATAGACATACAGCCAGCGGAGTCTTAGTTCTGTTTAGTTTAGTAGGGTTCTGTTTTGTCCTTTGGGTGCGGTGGGTTGGACGTAAAAAAGGACTAGAGAGTAGTAACTACTTACTTTTATTTAAAGAAATGCCTAGAATTAATCTTTTGTTTTATCCTCAGGAGATGTGCATCTTGTGCATCAAAAAATTGTCTACGACACTAAAACTATGTACATACTATCTACATTCTGTATAAAAATCAAATACACACCTTACTCCATTACACATTTTAGCATTTACAATATTGGACAGTTTGTCAATTTCAAATGCCGATCTACAAAATGTACTCATTAATATAGTGTATTTGCGGGCCTTAATAGCCTCGGTGGCACCAACAAGGTATATCCAGAATGAAATGATCTATGCCACAGCATCTTCTTAGATGCGGAGCCAAAATGTACAGCAGTATTGATATATGTACATTCGATGACACTTATACACGAGTCCAATGACCTCAGGCAAGCGGAAAGAGGTAAATTATATTATAGATGGCGTAGAAAGTGTAATTTACGAAGTGTATTTTTCGGCGACATCAAAGGACGAACATATATAAAAGAAAAATATGAGTACAGTAATAAAAAAATTAGGGAAACCTGTGACGCTTTGATCGTCGCGTGGCATGTTTACAACGTGTTTAATCTAAGAACATTTAGTGATTTACGTTATACTTGCGGAGATTTATAAAAGCAAAATCTTGAAAGTCTCCTAGGAAACTGCTGGAGACACTGAAAGACGCTATCTCGTCTCAGTATCATGTTCGCGTCCTAAACATGTGCAATACAACGTCTAACATTAGTATATATACGAATACATCATGTATTCGTATAAATACTAATAAAATTTATTAGAATTTAGTGTTTTGTACATTTGTTCCACCGAGATGTCTTATTTTCGCCGGTCGATGGCACCGTACTCAACTTAATGCGATCCAAACATAAATATTGTCTTCATATTAATTACGACAGGAATACATTTCCTTTGATTCGAACGAATTCTGCGCTTCCGCGAACAAGTATCTAAATCGATATGTATGCAAAACGTTGTTTTGACTGAAGAAAGGATGAGTGAAACATCACCTTAATTAACTGAAGGGTAAAAAGTTAATTTAATATGTTCATTACGTTTTTTTTAATTTCCGATACACTATTATTTGATGACTTCGTGGCGCAGTGGCTAATGTATAGGCTTGGGCGTCGGGGGTCGTGGGTTCGATTCCCACACGGGACAACTATTTGTGTGACCCACAGATAGTTGTTTCGTATCTGGGTGTTTGTCCGCGTGAAATTTATGTTTGTAAAACAACACAAGATAATGTTACCTTAAAGTAAGGGCAATGTTTAAAAAAAAAAAAGAAAAATTTATATTTAATTTTTCATGTGTGCTATCCTCTGTACTTAAACTAAAGTTTTATACATAAAATGTTTACGGTGGTAGGGCCACGCAGCTGCCTCGGCTGTTGCACGAATGGACAGGCCCGTCCGGGTAAGTACCACGACCTCACAGAAGACCCGCGTAAAGTGGAAGTATGAAAAGTACTTTCGCGTTTCGTCTGGTGAGTGACGTAGCCGGAGCCCCCTCGGATAAAGATAATAAATACAGTCCATGGGCGGTGGGTACGTGTTTTTTTTAATATCAGGTGAATCGTCTGCTCGTTTGGCAACTTTTAACATAAAAAAAACATACATTTAAACTAAAAGTTGTACAAAAAAATCAGTGTGCCAATCAGCCATTAACTTAGTGGTTATAGCGTATGGACGCTAATCCAGAATACGTGGGTTCCATTCCCGCAGTATAGAAAAACTTCTAAAAATCTTAAAAGTTCCTCAGTTTTCCCACGTAGCTTATATAACATACTAGCTGATCCGGAAAAAGTTGTTTTCCCATATTCCCATACAACATATTATTGTCAACGCCCCCGCAACACCACTTGTGGGTGGAATTTCGCAAAATCCGTTTAAACCTCTACTCGGCGAAAGGAATATTCCTACCAAATTTCAAGTCTCTACGCTACTCCAGAAATATCGTGATGAGTCAATTATCGGTGCAAATCTCTTATATATAAAATATAGATAACGAATAAAAAATAACATCGCACAACCACTCTGTGGAACCAGCGGTCTTTCCGAACCGTTACGACCTGGGAACCTTCAAGAAGAGAGCATACTCTTTCTTAAAAGGCCGGCAACGCATTTGTGAGCCCTCGGGTGTTCAGGGGCGGTGGTAATCACTAACCCTCAGCTGAGCCTCCGGCTCGTTTGTCCCTTTTCTCCATAAAGAAACCTACTACATACCTGTAACTGTCCCTCTTTCATTTTATTTTAGATTATAACTAACGACCCGCCCTGGGTGCTATGTTTTATACAACCTTCCACTTGAATCACTCTATCTAGTAAAAAAAAAACCCCATCAAGATCCGTTGTGTAATTTTAAAGATTAGATCTTTCATACATATGGACAGACAGACAGCGGGACGACTTTGTTTTATACTATGTGATGATTAGATAAGTATAAAAAGTAAACAGGGAAAAACGGACATATGGTTTAGAATTAAATTTGTCATTTTGACTGAATAAAAAAACACTTATTTAATAACTAAATTAATTATCGCCCAATCGCCAGTTTACTATAATTAATTTTTATCGTTACATTTATCGTGCGCATTCGATGAAAACCAAAAAAACTAAAAATAAAATAGTTCGATGCCGTTAATGAGGATTTAACCGGGCGGAAAAGCTTCATCAAAACGGTTATTTGAATACTTTACGACAAAACGTTAAAGTGTAAAAATAGTTTTTACGGCTGTATAAAATCAACAAAGTTCGCCACAAATTGAGGATAACAAGATTACGGTGAATTCGCACGGCACGTTGTAGATTATTTATTTAGGGGTAAAACTAATATACTGTCCTCTGACACTTTTTATAGCAGCCATGGTCGCATGAGCTCAATTATTAAAAACATCGAATGGACTGAATAATATGAAAATATTAATGATAATAAATAACCCCTGGGAATGAGATGAGCGCTCCTGAGCTATTTCTAATATATTTAATATTTTAATATTTTGAGGAAACAAAATGACAAATAATATAATAACTATGGAGTTTCTTTCGCCTGTTTGTTCTTCGTTAGAGGAACCTCATTACGAAACGGTGCTACATTTAAAAAATGACTATCAATAGATTATGATATTTACATTTCTTTTATCTACGAATAAATATATAATTTGATTTGAATATAAATGGGAAAGAAAACAAAAACAAAACTTGTTTCCAACGCTGATACCCACGACTTCGTCAAAGTTGCTTATTATATTAACAAAGAATTTCAAGCACGGCATAAGAATCGTTTATATTTCTTAAAACTGCGATAACTTTACATTAACTATAGATTTAACAATAGTTTTCTTTTTATCTAAGTGTCAAGTGTCTTATTATTAAAACTATTATACTTATTATAGTTAATTGAAATCTCTCCAAAAGATTTTCCGTGATGCGCGCGTAATTTAAGACCTCTATAATTTTGTTTATATACATGGCATATGGTACAATGGGTGGCCTTACTTGTTAAAGCAATTCCTTCCAGGTAACGTTCACTAAATACATTACACGTTTTGTTGTTGATTGACGTTTGATGATTCTTTTAAATTATATTTTCATTATTATTTGTAGCTTCAAAGGGCACAGAGCATGTGGAAAGGTCAGGCTTCCAAGAGCTTGAAATACCCTACATTATTAGAGTCACACATGTCGACATGCGTGCATTGGGATTCGTCAGAGCTTAGAACTTGAATAGTCAAGCCTACTGGATCAAAGGTGTTAATGACTGTGGAAAATTTGCGGGGTCTGAGTCCCGTCTTTGACGTTTTTTAAATCTGGCGACGGCCAGTCGATTGTCACTAGTTTTCTAATAGTTAATCCCTAACCGCGGCTGCGGTGTTAATAGGGCAGGGGTGTTAAATGACTAAGGGTGGTTCGAACTTCGTTTTATTACAGAGACAAAGCGAACTCGCAGGAGCATGTCAAATATCTTTTAAGAGTCACGCGCACATGAATTATTTTCACATGGTCGACCAACGGCTATAAACTTTAAACATTAAATAAAAGTATTTCTACATTTATTTCCCATTCTTGTTAAAAAGTTCTTGTCATTTATCTTTTGTTGTCTTACTATATATAAAATATTGTATATACTTTAACTTTAAACGGAAGCCATATGATAAATGTGTTTCTTAATAAATAGCTTTGTTTCGTCCAATTTTTTGATTTGATTGTATCTTCAACTAGATACGATAATAGTCAGACAGAGACTAGCCAACTCCTGATAAGAATATCTTTCTGTATTCTGTAAACAAACACAACACCATCTCGGTTTCATTTATGTCTTTCATGAGTATCACCACTTTCACCGCATCTTTACAACGTCAATATCGTAACGGTGCATCTCATTTCTTGTAAGCATTGCTGATCACAGCCAGATATAAATCGTGTAATAAGTGCAGCATCAGTGACAGAACAGCACGTCTTTCAAATATCAGTCTATCAAACGTGACAGCATCACGCACCGGAGCCTTGCATGTGCTAATCCAGTTTGGTCCTCCGGATCATTTCGGCCTCATTGCCTGACGGTTGACCGTAACGTGAAGTGTGCGGACTTTGATTCGATTGATCGGCCGACATCTTAAACGCATCAATGTCCCAAAGGTTATTCGTATTTTCGTCGTCACAACTCGTCCACCGTTCGACGCAAGTGCGCCGCAGTCGCCCTCGTTCCGTCTAGGTCGCTGCGCGGCATTGAACTTACGGAAAAGATAAAAGTAGACGGGAAAAGATAAAAGGTAACGCACTCGAACTGCCCCGAAGTGGTACACGGGCGATGTTCTCGTGAATACAAGGATGCCCGCGAACGCTTCCTGACAGTCGACTTTGATCTCCATCGCCATCTTTGATGGAAAAAGGCGGGAACACGCGGCACGGGGTGTCAATAAACAACCAATCTCGTAAATCGACCAAAAAGTTAAACACGCGTACGAATTTTTTCTTTTTTTTTTTTGTATAATTAAGCTGTAATGGTAACATTATTTTGAAACTTTTTTTCTTTAAAAAATATTCCGTCTGCTTTTCTTTGGTTTGTTGCCTAAAAGAAAACTTTTACAAAGTAGAATAAATAATTAAAAGTTAATTTGAACACTTTTTTTAATCTTTACATTGTAATCACAGGTCAAGGTCGAACTGTCAGAAAGCGACAACAAGCGACTCATAATGGTTTATCTTTAAAATAATAAAAACCAAGAAACACTTACATGTGCTACTATTACTATAGGATACACTATTCTCCACTTGCATTTTCATGATTATTCCTGACTAGACGCTGATCACTTCATGTCTGAGTTTCTGATATGTGCGATCTGTTGAAGCACGATCACCTCATCACATCACCAATTTACATAATTACCTAGTTCACAGTTTCCACTGAGCATCACATTTCGCACAGCCCTCATCCATGTAGGCAACACGGCGAAGAGAATTAGCGGTAAATCCGTGGCACAGTCCGCATAGTCGACGGCGACTGTGTTAAAATTTAAAAAAAAACAGACGATGGCGCGAAAACGCGAACTCTTTTGACAGCTGGCCGTCAAACCACATTCGGGAGCGCGCGAAAAGTCACGCGAGGCCGCGCAGCCCGCCGTGGACGTGTGTGTTTCGCCGACGGTACCATCTCCCTGCGCGTATCTGAAACACAATTTGTTTTTCTTTATTTATAAATCGCCCGCGCCGGTGACGCGTTAGCGCGTAATTAACGGATGCACGGACACGCCCGCACAGGCTGTGCCCCGAAGGTTACTAACAACCACACAACAATCAACAACCGTAAATATGCGACACCGCATTATTTTATCAACTATCCTCGTGGAGTACGAATTTCTTCCTAATATCAAAGTTTTGCAAACTATCATTGAGAATCTTATCTCAACATATTTGATAATGTATGTATGAATCTTCAAATAAATATGACAACATTTTTGTTACATAAAAAGTGAAAGAATCTAGATGAATTTTCCATTGACTTAATGCGAATAATAATAAAAATTAAAAAGCTGAAACTAGCACAAATGTGATATGAGCCTTATCTTATTGGCAGGTATGTAAATGTTTGTTTCGAAGAAAAAGAGATAACATGATAATACTAAGAACAATGCATAAAACTGCGCATCAACTTCGGCAGCCCTACTTCGAATAGCTATTTTTACAAGTCTACTGTGATTAAATTTGAAGAACGTTTCATTGTAAAAACCCGGCCATGAGCGGACTCGCGCACGAAGTGTTCCGTACCATTATCTATAAAAAAGGTAAAAAAAAAATCATGTCCGTTGTATCTGTAATAATTTCAACTGTCTAACTATCATGGTTCATGAGATAAAGCCTGGTGACAGACGGACAGAAATAGACAGACAGCAAGCGGAGTCTTAGTAACAGGGTCCCGTTTTGCCCCTAAAAATGACAATTGATTTGGCAGGCACCCTGAACATTCGATGTAGCTTTAAGATACATTTTTCTTGTAATATTAAATATAAGATAGTATGTGTGTTAGTTCCTCCTGAGTTTGTACATAATAAGATACTGAGAAAAATTTTATTGGCAAAAATTAGGTGACTTTTGAATCTTTGAATTTTTGAATCCTTGTTATATACATAAATTTTATTAATCGTACATTTGATATTTTGTTTAGCTATTAAATTTACAACAGATTTTAATAGCAATAGTATTATGGGTGCAAAAGTGTGTATTCCCCTCTTCACGCAGTAACGTTAAATAGAACGGTTAATCAAATTTGGAATAAGTTTAAAGCTGGTTTTACGCATATGATCCTGAACAATATAACCGTTACATTATTTAGAATTCTACAGATGCAAACTTCTTTACAATACTTCTGGATGAAACAGAACAAGCATTTCGATTACACAACGTTTTTATATTAAAATGGTTACGTAAGCCCTTGTAATTATTTCTTAACATTACGCAAATATTACATCTTTATAAAACGGACTGTATCCCAGTTTATTTTGATAGCTCGAATTCTACCAAAGTTGGGTTAACAGTGACATCGGAACGTAATATACCTGTGTCATCCTGTAACCATGAAATATATTTTAAATTCAAATTAGAAAGAAAGAAGAAGAAAGAAAGTCACTTTATTTAAATAATACATATTAATAAAAATAAAGAAATACATATTATTAAAACATAAACAGAAAAATGACTATTGTGACATCAAATTGAAACTCCATTTCAGCAATATGCTGCAGTCCTATCGTACCGCAGCGCTGATTTGAAAGTTGACTTCACACACGAAAATACTACTAATATTATTATTTACTAGAAGAAAAAAAAATATACAAACAAATAATAATAATAACAATTAATTAGGTTCCTTTACAAGTCGGCTGCAAAGTAAAATATAACATTGCAAACTACATATATTATATTCAGATATAAAATACATAGAGCCGTGATAGCTCAGTGTCCGGGCGCTCGCCTTTAATTCAATATACTCGAGCAACCTGAGTTCGATCCCCGGTGCCGGCACCAATGAAGTTTTTTAACTTTAAGTGCTGAATTATCACGTGCTCCGCGGTGAAGGAAAACATCGCGAGGAAACCTGCATATTTTCGAAATAATAACAAAAAAATGTATTTCGAAGATATGTGAAGTCCGCCAGTCCGCAGTGGGGCCGCGTGGTCGACTATGTCCTGATACCCTCTGTATAGAGGAGGCCTTTGCCCAGCAGTGGGACATGTATAGGCTGTTACTTTACTTTTATATAAAATACAATAAATATAGTGTCTAATTAATTCAAATTCAAAAAATCTTTTTTCATATACCCACTTGCGCGTTCTTATGAAACGTCGAATTTTACATACAAATTAACACAGTTCGTAAGTAACCACCGTGCACCGGTAAAAATAGTTTCTCTCTCTTCAAATTCTCAAAACTCAAACTACTCAAAACATTAGGTTCAAAATCAAAACTAACCATGATAAAACACGTTAAGTCGTTTTACATAAACTTGAAGCATTCGCGTGAATTAACAAAAACAATTATATACTACGATTATAAATCCGTGAAGGACTTTAATTAAAATCAGCTGTTATCTTATATACCGTAACTTGTCAATATTGAAATAACCGAAAACTCGTTGGTCTGAGCCAATGATCAAAGGGGAGGCACCCATGACCCATAAAAAGACCATTATCTTCGGCGGTCGGGTTTTATGCAAAATACAGCTTTCCTGAACAGACGTGTTCTAGATTTCAGTATGAAGTAAACTTTTTTTTTATAAGTGGAACAGTTATTTAGAAAAATCTTAGTAATGTTAAACGATTACGCCTATAATATATAATAAAATAACACCTGCAAAAAGCCATTGAAACATTTTATCATATTATGACAATGACCATGCTGACCAATCAAAGATTGCCATGTCAACCATCAGATGTATCACATTTTCCCCATTTACGATTTCCTTTATGAATACTATTTGATTTTAGGTAAATAAAGTAAATTAAAAGGCTATATATATATATATACAAGAATTGCACGTTTAAAGGTATTAGATAGATAATGTTCCACTGCTGGATGATTCGTCCTTTATAAGGAGGGTATAAGATCATAGTCTACCACGCGGCCCCACTGCGTATTGGCGGATTTCACATATCTTCAAAATAAATTATTGTAGTTATTTCGAAAATACGCAGGTTTCCTACCGATGTTTCCCTTCACCGCGGAGTTTAAAAGTAACAATTTGCTTGTTATGTTCACCAGGGCTTGAACTCAGGTTGCTCAAGTATATTGAATTAAGTACCGTAACACATTTTTAGTTAAAAAAATGTTAAGTAGCTTTTTATTATTGAAAAAAAAACAAAATCATAATCGTTCTAATTGTTTCAGATTTAACATCAGGTGAACCTTACACTCGCTTGACAATTTTATACACAAAAAAAATCATTAATATGATTTAATAAAAATTTTGTGATATAACATTAGATTAACCGTTGAGATTAAACTTGTTATAATTATTAGTAAATATTTTATTATTGTCGTGCTTTTTAAAAACTGTCCAAACGAGAATTGCGATCTAGAAATTAATCATAACGACCCAGTAGCAAAAAAAGGCGTTCCGTACCGAAATTTACGATACCGTTAACTCTGCGAAATCGGTTCGCAAATAAAACGGCACTCGAAAATTTTCCATTTTCACGTGTCGGATGCGTGCGGAAACGAAAGAGTAATATAAGCATTAGTTTCTTTACGTTTTAAATATGACTCATTTCTTTATGTTAAAAATATGGCCCATTTCTGTATTAATATTTAAAAAACAAAGTTGCGTAGCCTGCTACTTTTTCTACAATTTCCTCAAAGTTACTTCGAAGGGTCTTTAATAATATTCTCGGTTCATTTTCTTACAGTTAAAGTTACAATTGTATTTGAATGCTAAAAACAATGTAGATAAAAAGACTTTCGTCGGTGTTGGTAATCAGCCGTTTAGCTTAGTGGCTAAAGCGTTAGGGCGCGAATCCCGAAGACGTGGGTTCGATTCCCACAGCGGCAAATTTTAATCTTTGCACTTATAATCTTAAGTGCAAAGATTAGCACTATAAAAATATTCTAAAAAGCAATGGCGACATCTCTCGTTGGCATTATCGTTGTAAAACGATATTCGAAATCGTTTGTATGCTGGAAAGGATATGATAATGGATGCGCCAAGCATTGCTTCCAATGCTACCCAGATAATAAAAAGTATATTTTTTCTACTTATTCCGCATGACCATTCCTTTTGACGGTCAGCGCTTGGACTATTAGCAGTATAATTTACCACAAGCACTGTAAATACTTTAAGATATATGGTATAAGGTATTTTAACTTTGCTAGTTTTAAAAGATAT